ATTCACCTTATATACAAGCGACTGTACATTACAATATTTCGACATTATTTTTTTTTTTAGAATTTCTGAAAAATTACAGATTGTGATGTCATGTTCAACATTTTGGTGATTCAGAGAGTGAATTAATTATTCGTTTAAGAATGTGTATGCATGCGTATGTAAAGCAAAACAAATGTTTGAATTCTTAAAATTTGTTACGTTTAAATATGCTGTCACACCAACATACATATTTATAATGAAAAATTCTTTTAAACTCACATGTCCTCACATATATGCTAAAACAATACATACACACAGATATTTTTAATTTCAAATTTCTTGATAAATTTTCATTACTTTCAGTAATGGCTGTCAGACGCATTATTGTCAAGTTTAATTAATTTTAATACAATTAGTGAATTGGTTTAATACATCTTTATTAAGATTTAATTTCACCCACTTAAACTTTCATGCATCATAATCACATATACATACGTATACATTACTCAAACTTGAACGAACTTCATGTATTACAGTTTGATATACATAATTGATACTCATTTTATGTTTTTTCTGATTTTGACTTCCAAATTCCAAATATACTGTAAGCTCTTATGCCTTTAATAAAATTACAATAAACGAAAAGTGACAGCTGACAGTCAATGTGTTTTTATATTTCGTCTTAATACTCAATCATTTTATAAACAACATGCTATACAAAATGTGTTTACTTACTTAAAAATTGTGGCATAAGTGGCACATAATTAATAAAATTTAAGAAGAATAAAAAAAACTTTCAATATACTTAAAAGAATTTAACACTTAAAGCAAGATTATTGGTTCAATTATTATCAAATTATGTACGAAGCTATAATGAAATTAAAAATAATATCTTAGATAGTTTTAGAACGTTTTCCTAAGTATTACATTGACCTTGTTACAAGACAACGAAAATTAGTGGATATACTTAAAGAGCACGAAAATAATTTCAACGACATTTGACACTCAAATCAACAACAACATAATAGAAACATTAATTTTTTTTTAAGAAAAATTATTAAATTACCGGATATTGAAAATTAATATTATTAATTATTTATATAGAAACTTGAAATAGCTCTTCAGATTTCTGATTTAATTAACATTATATTGGTAATTATTATTACGAAATTTCGTAATTCTGTAACGCTTTTATAAAATTTATTGTTAATAGCATTAGAAATTATATATGATATTATAAATAGAGCTTCATTTTGACAGTTAACGTTTATAGAAGATTGATTTCGTTGAAAATTTGAAAAGTTAATATTATTAAACATTTCAGAAATGAAGAGCAATTAATACAATTTCGGGACCAGCTTGAATTCAAAAAATATTGCCGGTGCAGCATTTACTTTGCACACCTACTAAAGAAGACGTTACCATTACAAAATACTACCAAAAGATCTGTCTGTCTAAGAAACCTTTTGAAATACTCGTATGTATATACAAATTTTTGCAAATACTGCGTTTCCGAACGCCTGAATAAAAACGCGTCGTTAAAAAAAGAGAATTGAGTGAAAAATACCAATTTATTCCAATTTATTGCAATCTTTTCGAATTTAATGCAAATAAAATTTTCATTTATGAAAATTCATTAAAAACTTATTGACGTTTATTTATTCTGTTGCTGCCTGATCTGTTCTGTTCTTTTATATTGCGATTGACGGTTATTTATTACATGTGTTTTTGTTGTCATACTTCTGTTAATTTAGCTGTCATTTTTCTGTTTCTTTAAATTTTTGTTTGGAAATGAATTTCATGAAAATTTTGTTGGTTTTTGTAAAAATTGAAATATAAAGTTGGAAATATAAAATTCTTTTTATAAAAATTAAAGAAATAGATCTGGAATATTTGGAATAAGGCTTATAGAAAGAAACATCTATACTGTAATACAAAATTTTAAATTTTTCAGCATTACAAATATAATAATGAATTAAACAGACAAATATAACATTACTCACACTTTAAGTTATTCAATTCAAAACAGTTAACAAATAACTACATAATTTTCACGAAATATGAAGTAAAAAACACATTTTTTACTTACAAACACATACATAAATTCAATGTATATAAACCAAGTACATAAAAAATATACATAGCTCATACAATATTACAGAATTACTTCATCACGCCTATAGTTTAATGAAGGAATGACGTAATAACTTTTATAGTAAATTTAACCTATAAAATAAGCTTTGAACTTCATTCATTCACTATACTCGTATAACAATACCAATCATAATAATAATAATTTATTCAACTAAATAACAAAACAAAAAAAAACAAAACACAATACAAAAATAAAGCATAAAAAGCGCGAAATTTAATATACCGGCAAAATTTTTATAAATAAAAGCAAGGTTATGTGTTTACCATAATAATAGTGTTAACAGCTAAAAATATAAAATACATGTTATATTATATATACTACTATCTCTATCACTCCAATACGAAATATTTAGTAATTTGTAGTATAAAAAAAAATTATTAATTTTAATTGAACTCTTAAAATTAGCTTTATAGTATTAGAATTTTATTGACTTACGTAATATTACAGTGAATATAGTTAGAATTTCTATTTGCTTCAAGCTAGATTACAAAATATACAAAAGAAAAAATTCAATGAGCAGCTGAATAATTTAAGAAAAATAGAAAAAAATTTGCATACACATTTTGTGCGCGTAAATGTTTTAGTTACTTGTAAACGAGTTAGTAACTTTTTGTAATTTCATTTTTTATTATACAACTCGTATACAAATATTTTTAATAACATAACAGTCTGTTCAATGATGTCATGTGTACATGAAAACTGTTAGTGGGTAGAGGTACAAAAATTTTTATAATTAAACGAGTCTCGTACTTATTCTAAAATTCTATTTTATTGTTATATTTTTCGTCTTAAGGTTATGATTTTATTTTTTATTTAAAGAAATTCTCTGAATTTCAATTTATGTGTTCGAAATTAATTTAAAAATGTATAGGATTAATGATTTAATAATAATTGGTATTAAGCATATACATTTATTTTTTATTAAGTGTAAGTAAGCAAGAACAAGTAAAAGTTAAATTTTTAAGGTTATTCAATCATAAAATTTGAATAATTGTGTCATATTTTTTAATAATTATGGTAATGTAGAAATAAAGTTAAAAGCTATTAAAATGTTCATAAATAGACTAAAAAATTTTTGTTAAATGATATTTTGGAATTAATTATAAATTGTACATGAAATCATTCAATTTGCATTTTAGGTTCTTATACGAAAAAAATTTCACTATTCTTAAATAATATTCAAATTTGTTTGTTTTTTGTTTTCATGAGTTTTTGAAATAGGCCAAGATTATTATTGTAAATATTTCAAGGGCAATTCTTTATTCAACTTTAAAATCATTTATGGTAGTGATTTCAATACCTGTTTTATTGGTATACAGGGAAATTTATGCAGGTTTTAAAAACTAATACAATACTTAAATGGACATTAAAGCTATTCTAATATTAAAAATTTTATTTTCAAAAGAATAATTGATTGACAAATTGTTAAACTTATTTTAATACTTAAAGATTATTTTGAATTTTAAAATGACTTTGTAGTAAAAATTATGGTAATTTTTATTTATTTATAAACAAATTTTTTTATTTTAAGTTTCCGTTATTAATTAAATTTTTAGCAATTGAAAAATTTTTTAAAAACAGTATTCATCATCCGAAAACGGTATTACCAGCTTATTTAGAAGTGATCATTACCATAAATTGTCATTAAACTTTAAAACAGAATTTTTTTACCAAATTGTCATTAAACTTTAGAACAGAATTGAAATTGTAACTGTGAAAATTCTGTATAACTGTCTGCAGGCTCGGTTCTAATTTGTTTGGTGCCCTACTCGGATTCTAAAAAGTGCCATTGCACATGAAATTAAAATTACATTATGAAAAAATTTACAAAAAATTTTTTACTTTTTAAAATTTAGTTTTTTTTTTTCAAGTTTTCAACGTCGCTTAACTGTTTCCCGGTGCTCATTACAAATTCTTACTTTCCACATATGGCATATAACATTGTATGAGATCTTTTGCAAAAAACAAAGGTCGAGAAGAACGAAAAAGAGACGTTCTCTTTCTTTCAGACTTTTGCTAATAAAAATCTTATTAGTGAAACAATTTAGCTTTAATTTTTGTATTGGTATAAATCTTTCGAAAATTAATTTATTGAGAGAATTAATTGGAAATTTTAATTTTTTTTCTCTTAACTCCTCTAAAATTACAAAACTGTTAATAATTTTTTAAATTTTTGCAAATAAGGTAATTCAAATAGAGCTGCGATTACTAAATTTATAAAAAATAGGCAAAAAAATTTTAACAGGAATAATATTGATAAAGATTATTCAAAATTTATAAGTAAGACTTACCCGTATGTTTATACTCCATAGCTATTCTGAGAAAACTGTTATAGGTATATTTATTTCATTCAAAATCAGCAATTTCAATTCTAGTATCAAATATCAATTCCAATAAATCTATTTTTGACTCATGCTGGGATTTCCTTTTAATTTTTATACGTTTGCAAAATTCATGTTTTAAAATTATATTCGCGCATTTTACATTTACTTTGAGTTCCAATTACATTTTAATTTGCCACCGCGATCCAACTATGTGTGTACACATTGATATTTCTCATGAATTCATGAAGTGTGTGTGTGTCAAAATCTACACACTCTTCATTCTTTTACAATTCGTACTTTCAAATTCAAAAAATTTTTTCTTTCATTCTTTAACACTTTTTATAATCCATTTTTGGAATTACAACCAATACAAACGATCTGACATATCAATTTACACAATAAATAATAAATAAAAATTAATTAAGATATACTTACGCACACAGGATGCACACACAAATAAATTTTTTATTGACACCATAATTTAAAAAAAAAAAACATTTTTATTAATATTTGCTATTTGTTTTTCTCTTATTGTTGTTTAGGTGGTCAACTGAAAACCAAAAATGGACAAAAATATATTGTTAACGAAAGACGTGAGGGTATTTTTGTATCAAAATCATGTGCCATATTAAGTGCTATAATTGCTGTGTCGGCAATTATTATTGCAGTTTTAATAACATACTTTTTAACAAGTAACTTTCCCGAACAACGTTCAAAGTAAGTATTCAATTTGTTTTATATATATACTCACATATACAGATGTACAAACAATTTATCTGAATGAATGCCTTAAAATGTGTCATTTGTAAAACAAAAAACTATAAATTTTTTTTTTCTTGAAAGTTTTAGATTTTTAGTTAAGATTAAATTTTTTTTATAACAAATTTTTATTAATATGCCAATGAACAATGATAGAAAAGTGTGTTTATTATAACAAAATTGGATATCTATTGAAAATCAATTAGACAATTATTGCTGTAATCATTTTCAATATGGAAATCCAAAATATGGCATTTTTAAAATAAATTTTGCATTAGTAATTCATATATGAGCAATACTCGGAGTCATACATTCAGTACGTATAACTTAAACATCTATGCACTCATTCGAAGGCTCTCATTAACAGTGCGCATTATAAGGAGTTTAATTGGGAGTTGACGTTTAAAATATTTGATTTAAATGTGTCAATACTCAATAATACTCCCATAGTGCATTCAAAAATCATCTGACAAATCTGCTTATATTAAAATTAATAACAATTACATATTTATTGGTTAAAATTATATTTTTCAATGAATTGAACGTGTTTTAATAATTTTCAACCGCATAATCCAATTATCATAATTTTAATCTGTGGTTAATTTAAATCAAAAATTCATTTTTTTTTCACTAATTTTTAATTAAAAACGAAAATTGTTGCTGAAAGTATTGGTTTTGCAATAACAGAAGAAAAGAGTATAAAATAAATGAGTTTTTCTTTGTATTTTCTAATTTAATTATAATCAAAGTCATCATTCAATTATTATTAAAATTATAAAAATATTCGTGCGTGTCATAATTATATTGACACCTCCATCAAAAAATTTTCATATATGTAAAAAGATTTGAATTATGAAAATGACATTTGAGTCAGACAACTAAATTTAAAATAATTACGTCATTTATTGTTTTCATATTTATTAATAAATTATATATAATACTTTTTTAGTTGCCCTCAATTAAATGGTAATGCTCCAGCCACTGCCGGTATATATAGTAATAAAAATTCTTATGCTACAAATAGTAAGGCTGATTTAAATGATGAAGCAATTACAAATGGTAATACTATTACAAATGGTGTTAGCATATCAAATCGAAATTTTATAGATGATGATGATTTAGATCCAAATATAATGATAAGTGATGAAGGTATTAAAAAACCAGCTAAAGAAATTCATTTACATAAAGGATGGATACCTGAAATGTATACGTAAGTATTTATATACTTTATTATATAATTATATATTTATTACAATATTGAATGAAGTTACAAGCAAGCGCGTCTTTACCACCTGCAATTGAATATATTTTGAGCAGATGTTATTATCTCTTCTTGTTACATAATTTGGTTTTTGAAGTTTCCAATTGTTGCAGTCAAAATTTGTTTGCTTCCTCAATAAATTATTTCTGTTGTATGTACATATATTAACAATAAAACTTTAGACCTTGTTGTTCTTTTAACAAAATATATATTGAGCTCTTCAGAATAAACATCTCAGTCAAGATCATTAAAATCTTAATATTTTAAATCATTTTGACACAACTAAACTAATCAAATATGAAAGTGTCAAAAATATCTTAATTTTATTGTAAATACTTGTATTTTTACAAAAGAAGTGTAAAAATTCAGACAAACATAACCTTAAAATAAAAAAATATCCAAATAATCTTATCAATTCATCCTCTAATTTAAAATTAACATCTTAAACTCTCTGTAAATGTTTTCTTATTATTAAAGTTCATCTATAAAGCCTCATTTATAAATGCCCCATTATTATAAGCTTGATGATTTGTTTGTCATCTTTAACAAAATCAATTGTATAAAGTATTATACACAAAGAATACAAAAATATCATGTTACATAATTAATTATCACACTGTTTATTATAAAATTTACATTCATTTCAAAATAAAAGCATGTAATAAAGGTAAACTTAAGATTGTATATATATATATGAAATATAATAGAAAACATTGGTTTTTTTAATAGATGATCATTAAGACGTTTCATTTTTTTTTTCAAAAAATTTACATATAGGGCACGAAAAACTCATTAACATATTAAAATTTTGCTTCTATTTAAGATGTAGAATGTAGACTGTTAATAAATTCTATTTGTATATATAAAGTTCTATAAAAGAAAGAACTTTAGAAAAATTATGTAAATTAATTAATTTTAGTATAATATGTAGGTAGCTGAGTATTCTTGTTTTTGAACATAGTTATAATAGATCGCGTAATCTCAGATTATAAAAAAAAAATAATTTAACCGCAACATCTTGATTTGAATAGATTATTGTGCATGGAATCGTTAATATTCATTCATTTTTTCTTCAGACTTATATAGATATTTAAGAATCTTTTTAAAAACATTTTTAGTTTTTGAATTAATTTTCTGGAGTCAAACCATTTCTAATTGAGAACAATGATTATTGTGAGTTTTTAAATAAAGAAAATGTTGGACAAACTTATTGTCGCAAGCGTAAACTTAAAACACTATAATGAGTTTTATCATTTTATCATAAAAATTTCTCTTTGTTTCAAATTTATGGTTTATAATTAACAAAATATTTTCCAAATTTAAATTTTTAATTAACATTATGCAATAAATGAATTAAATATTTAAATCATACACGTCTTTGTATGACAATAACAATAATTTAGATGTAATCAAACATGTTGTCCGTGAACGTTGTGCGTCATTCACTGTCATATATGTAGCTTATTTTCAAATTGTCATAATCATTATTGTCATATTGACATAACGAATGATTACAAACACAATGTGTATGTCATCACGCAGAAATTTTATATTTTATCAAACATGTATTAACTGTCAAGCAAAATCGATAGAAAAATGTTTGATTTCCTACAGTTTATAAATTAACCTTTGTACTAAAACTAAGAAAAAATTGTATGAAAAACTCACCCAATTTTAGAAAATGTAAAACTGAATAGCTTTAACACTTTGTCTATCGATTTTATGTACATATAAAACTACATTTCTAAAATCCAAACATGCGTATATCGCACAGAAATATGGTTTAATTTTAATTCACTTAATTTATATCACTTATACGAGTACGTTCAATTCATACAATAATCTAATCAACCAACATAAATATATACATATATATATTATGTATATAAGCGCGCATATATGTATGTGTATGCCACTAATATTAGAACAAAATATTAAAATCATTGATTCTTAAAAGTAATTCAACAAAACACGGAAATAACAAAAACCCGCTGTACGAGTACAATTTTGTTTTTCTTCCCCAATGGGAATAGCGAAAAGAAAAACAAGTAAAAACGTTTCAGTCGGTATGAACCGATTGAATTATACCCTGCACCTTTTTTCATTGTTGTATAGCAATTACTCAAACCTGTGAAACCATTCTATAGAAACTTCACGGATATGTCTGACCTATAACTGAACACACAACTACCAAGTTTCATGAATCTGGTTTCAAAATTTCCGAACCTGCCAAGTAATTCCACTAAAATTTCGCTAATATATCTGATCTATAATTGGACACACAACTGCCAAGTTTCATGAATCTAACTTTATTACTTTTCCAAATATTTAAAATAAGGTTTTGGACTTGTATGGGAGCCACTCGAACCTGTCAAGCAATTCCACCAAAACTTCAGACATATCTTTGACGTATAATTTTACACACAACTGCCAAGTTTTATGAATCTGTCTTTATTATTTTTCCAAATATTTAAAATTAACTTTTGGAGTTGTATGGCAGGTACCCGAACCTGCCAAGCAATTCCACTAAAACTTCGCAAATATATCTGATCTTTAATTGGACACACAACTGATAAGCTTCATGAATTTTACTTTATTATTTTTCCAAATATTTAAAATTAGCTTTTGGAGTTGTATGGCAGGTACCCGAACCTGTTAAGCAATTCCACTAAAACTTCGCAAATATATCTGATCTTTAATTGGACACACAACTGCCAAGTTTCATGAATCTAACTTTATTACTTTTACAAATATTTAAAATAAGGTTTTGGACTTGTATGGGAGCCACTCGAACCTGTCAAGCAATTCCACCAAAACTTCAGACATATCTTTGACGTGTAATTGGACACACAACTGCCAAGTTTTATGAATCTGTCTTTATTATTTTTCCAAATATTTAAAATTAACTTTTGGAGTTGTATGGCAGGTACCCGAACCTGCCAAGCAATTCCACTAAAACTTCGCAAATATATCTGACCTTTAATTGGACACAAAACTGCTAAGTTTCATGAATTTTACTTTATTATTTTTCCAAATATTTAAAATTAGCTTTTGGAGTTGTATGGCAGGTACCCGAACCTGTTAAGCAATTCCACTAAAACTTCGCAGGTATATCTGATCAATAATTGGACACACAACTGCCAAGTTTCATGAATCTAACTTCTTTATTTTTTCAAATATTTAAAGTAAGCTTTTGGACTTGTATGGGAGCTACTCGAACCTGTCAAGCAATTCCACCAAAACTTCAGAAATATCTTTGACCTATAATTGGACACACAACTGCAAAGTTTCATTAATCTGACTTTATTATTTTTCCAAATATTTAAAATAAGCTTTTGGACTTGTATAGGAGCCACTCGAACCTGTCAAGCAATTCCACAAAAACTTCAGAAATATCTTTGACCTACAATTGGACACACGACTGCCAAGTTTCATGAATCTGACTTTATTATTTTGCCGATTATAAAAAATTTGCTTTTGGAGTTGTATGGCAGCCACCCGAACCGGTGCAGCTATCTCATTAGAATTTTTAGAGCATATGTAGAATATAATTGGACACATTTATACAAAATTTTATAATTGTACCTTTATTAGTTTTTGAAATAATTAAAATAAACTCTTTGAGTTGTATGGCAGCTACCCGAACCCGTTGTCCGAATTGGTCCAATAACAATAGGGTTCGTCCTTGGCACAAAAGAAGCAACTTGTGAAAGTTTGGTGTCGATTGCATTATTCGTTTTTGAGTTATCGTGCGATCGGACGGACGGACGGACGGACGGACGGACGGACGGACGGACGGACGGACGGACGGACGGACGGACGGACGGACGGACGGACGGACGGACATGTCTAAATCGACGCAGAATTTTACGCTGAGCAAGAATATATATATATGTCCATACCGCAGGTGACTCCTTCAAGTAGTTACAAACTCCATACCAAAGTTAATATACCCTTCACGAAGTGCAGGGTATAATGAATTCATTGTGAGTAAACAAAAAACAAAAAAAAAAATCATAATATCGCGTTTATTTACCATGCATGGATAACTGTAAAAGTTAAATAATATTAAAGAAAAAAAGACAAAAACAAAGATTCAACAAAAAATACCCAACGTCAATGCTGAAATTGTTAGTCGTGTACTTTGTATATAAATTGTGTATACTTACATTTATATAAAAATCATTTATTTTATTTAAATAAAAAATTCAAAGAAAAAAACAGAAAGATAAATTGCATTTGATGAATTCACTCACTTTCATTTTATTACATGGTTAATGTTTTATTTTAATTACACCATTATTAACTTTATAATACACCATATCTTTTCCGTTTCAAATATAATGTAGCAGGTTTACTACACAAATGTTAAGCAATTCTACAAAATATTAGTCGAATGCAAATATTTTGAATATTGAAAAACAGAGCCGACTTCTGGAATATATTTTGTATATATTTTTTCACGGAAGATGAAAGTGAGTCACTTATCAAAAAAATAGAAAAATCGATTGATGCAGCCTATCTCCTGGTTTCGTACTTTTCCATCGATTTTGTTTCCAATAAATGTTTCTTAGCTTTTAAAATCAAAAAAATAATTAATTAACTATTATCTTGTACGTACTCTACAGGTCGGTCCTCAAAAAAAACAATTTGGATTTCGAATTTAACATAAAACTAGATTTAATTTTCAACTAGAGACATTGATTTACATTAAATTTTTGAAAAGGATTTGCACATAAACGATATTTCTTAAAATGCAGTTCTTAATTTGTACATACAGCATTCCCGTACATTTAATTTGTGCATAAAACTTCGAAAGCTTAACAAATCTAACTTTAAGAACTGCATTTTCAGAAATAATCAAAAAAAGCATGCCTACCGCTCATGACAAATTACTTCGGACAAATAAATGTGAAAACTTTTTAAAGATCGTTCATAAAAAATTACAG